ATCCATTGTGATCAGATTTAGTCATTTAACAAAACTGCAAGCAGTTGATGTCACATCATCTCCTGTATCATTTGGTCTCTGATTCTTCTGTTTATGATAAATAATGATGTGACATTTAAAATGACATTGAAACAGATTTCTGGTCATACTCTGACATCATTTCTAGCAGGAAGCAGCCAGGCTCACCTGATCAGTTCCAGAGCATTTTAACAGTAGGTAACATTATGCAAAAAAAAACACCCCGGTTTCTGCGTGAAGAATTGCCAAAGAGCTCACTCTGTCTACTTCAAACATGCTTGACCTCAAGCGTCCAGAGTCCCAGTTTGGCCCGACTCGCTCATACGTATTCCCCTTCAGCTGCCACGTCACTCGTCTTTGCGCCTCTGCTCTTTGCAAGCCCGCGACGCCATGAGTTTGAAGAAGAGCGCGGGCCACAGTGTGCGTAGGTAGATGGCCACAGTGGGCTGGGGTCCGGCCAAAACCACGTCTTTGCTCTTCAGGCGGACGGCCTTCAGAACCGCACGTGCCACAACTCTGGGGTCCCAACCCGACGCTGTAGTTTTATCCACGACTGGATGAGTATGTTAATACAGAAAAACAGTTCAGATACTTTCATTAAGTCATTTGACAGCTGCTCTATACGATAAGGCAGTGATTGCTCTTTGAATGCCTCACCTCCGTATGTGGATCCATCTCCAGTCACAGCGTTGACCGACAGGTTGGTTCTGATGTACCCGGGGCTGATCACTGTTACTGGGATACCCAGGTGTCCCATCTCCGCCCGCAGGCAGTCAAAGTAGGCCTGAGTGGCATGCTTAGATGCTGCATCTGGTCATATGATTTAAGAAAAAGACAGATACGGGTGATTATTTTACATGACATTGTCCTGAAGGAGGAAAACTAAAATGCTTACAAGCAGATCTGTAAGGAATCGCTATCTTTCCCTGGACGCTGCTGATGACAACGATGTGGCCTCTGCGCCTCTGAACCATGGAGGGCAGGAGAGCTGCAAAGACGACAATAGTGCTTCATGTTGACACAGTTTCCTTCAGCTTCTTACTCTTAAAGATTTTGCTTTCAAACTGGGTTTAGGTCACTTATAGATGAAGGGGAAAAAAATGGAGAAAAGCCAAAATTTCAGTATGTGGTCGTGTAAAGCTGCAGGAGATGGGGAAAGCGATTCATGGTTCTACAAAGTATCGACTGAGTAAGGGGTAAACATGAATACAAGCCAGACTTTTCCAATTTTTTTGGTCTATAGATATATTTTTTTAAATATCCCAAATTGCTCTTCCATTTCACAATTATGTCCTGCTTTGTGTTTGTCTAGCAAATAAACATCCCCAAAATAATTAGTGTGTTAAAAGTTAAAGTGGTATGAATCCTTTTGCAGAAAGAAATTGATCTAATTGCTTCCATATTAAGTGTGACATCAAAATGTAAGCTGTAAAAATGAAACTCAAACTCATTACCAACCTTGAGTGAGAGAAATGGGACCAAAGTAATTGGTTTCCATAACATCTCTTTGAACAGACATGTGGGTGTCCAGTATGTTGCCACGGTAACTGATTCCCGCATTATTAATGAGGACGTCTACGTGTCCGTAGCATTTCAGGATCTCCTCGGCAGCTTTTCCCACAGAGTCCACTCTGGCCAGGTCGAAGACGACGGTGCTGGGAGCGAAAGTCTGCAGGACGAACAAAACGAAGATGGTAAATCAAACTGTTCCCCTCTAGATTAGAGGATTTTGCCCCTCTCTCACTGAAACAACAGTACAAACTTTAAAAAAAATAATCACACCAGTTTGCCTTTTTGTGTGACAAGATACAACTCGATGAGAAAAACGTCACGGCTCGTGTGGACGTCCGCCTACCTGGCGCTGACCGTCTGCTGAGTTTCCACCAAGCTCCTGCACCACCTCTTGCAGGCGAGCCGCGTCTCTTCCACACAGCACAAGCCGAGCGCCTGCAGCGTGGAAGACTCGTGCACACTCTACGCCATAAAAAGTTTTTGAAAAGTTAGCTATTGTTAGGAGACTTTGTCCTGATCAGCTAAAGTAAAAATGAACGAACTGCTGACCTCTTCCAAGCCCGGAACTGGCTCCTGTGATGACCACGACCGCACCCTGGACGGATGCTCCCCGTCTGAGGCGGAGAAGTATCTGGAACAGCAGCAACACTCCCACACTTGCTATAACCAGAGGAAGCACTGCTCCTCCCATGATGCACTATGTCTGACAGTCACCCTTCCTGTTGGTAAATTAATGCATTTAATCTATTTGAACTGAAAGTGCAGTAACCAGCAAAGAAATGCTTCAAAGTCCTGAAGAGCTAATAGTAATAAATACACAATTTCATTGGTGAAAAAGAACTTCAACCCTCTACAATGTAATCTGAGTACCTCATTGGGCATAAACATAGAGGAAAAACTCTGCTCTGAAGCATTACTCCATCCATCTTTAGATGTTCTGCCTCCAGCTGGGCATTTTTAGGGATCCGCAAACATTAATTCCTGTGATGCAAAGCAGTAATTACAACACTCACATCCTTGAAAGTAACCAAGCTTTGTGGGAGAAGAATGATTTCAACCACCACCCACTTTTTAAGGAAACCATTCTAGAAAAACGATACATGCTGCTCATTAACACTTCCCCCTCTGAGCCATTTAAAAGACAATCAAAATGAATCAAATACAGTGCTTTGTTTCAAGGCTAAAACAAAGTGAAGATGAGGATCACTTTGCAACTCAAGGCAAATCGCCTCAAGAAAAACTGAAGCAGTAAAGTTTGTGCAAAATTAGATTTCTGACCGTCTCAACTTAGCGCCTCGGAAATTGATTTGACTAATGATAATAACGATAAACACTATTTTATATAAAGTACTTCACTGTATATTTGAGACACACAGTTTTGAAAGATATTAACAGATGGACATGACTAAGAAAGCAATTTCAAAACATGAATCAGAAAATGTTTTCCTCTCTAAAAGGTGACTGACTAATCACTGGAAAAGGAAGAGCAAAAGACCTTTAGTCTATCAAAGGCAGCAGTGATCATATTTTTTATTGTTAATTATGTTAACATGTTGAAAGGCTTTTCATTATATGGTGACAGTGGCGTGCACTACTCTGTAATGAACCCACACATGTCAATTTATCTCTACAAAGTAAAACAGTAACGCTAACTTTAGCTATAATCAATGCTGCAAATAAGCTTGACAACAGTTGATAGCTTGTCAGCTTAGATTTGGTCAGAAACTCACCTGGATTGATTTCGAGGGCTACACAGAGCGAGGCGTGTACCAGTGAAACAGATCACTTCCTGTTTGGTTGAAAACAATCCGCATGTTTCTCCACGGGCTTGGTCGGTCTGCGCACAGCTGCCGCGCAGGATTGTGGGAAGCGTAGTTTCACGTCAATGACATTTATGAAGAATGTCATCGCTACAAGTTAGCTTTTTTGCTTTTGTTGTAGTTTAAAACAAATCGTTTGTTTATCTTATTCGTTTGTTGGTGGATTAGCTGGTTGGTTGCAGTTGCCCACAAAGACTAATTGATGTTTTGCATAAATGCTGTGCTCACCTGTAATATCAGACCAACTGTTTCTCCATAAATGGTTGGTGGACTACAACATTTTCCTATAGGTAGGTTTGGTTGCAAGACGTCTAAGAAATAATTAACCCGCCTTTCCTCCCCTAATTTGCAATGGTTGTTTCCCAGAATGCATAGAGGCAGTGCTGCGGTAATTGGTGAGCATAACAAGATTCTTCTTTATTTCCATTTTATATTTGGGGGGGAAATTTAATTGCTCTGCATCTTCCGTGATTTTTCAAATTCATCAGCTGGTGTATTTGCCAGCAAAGGTTGATGTGTTGAATCCCCACATCTGAATATGTCACGTGTTGATGGATTGAAAACAATTGATTTGCTGCACTATAGAATATAACCCAAATAGAAATTTAAACTCATCACTGGAAGAGAAAAATATTTTAAACGAATTGTGTTTTTTAGTGCAACAACTTCATTCTGTACATCGACATGAATATAATCTAGTTAAGGCTGCTTATGATCCTGTGGGATAGTTCATACAGGAACCACTTCCAAACAAGAAATGTGTGCACAAGTTTTTCAGAGGTTGCTTTCCTTCATTATTATATTTACCTTGTGCAAAAAGTGAGCCTAGTCATGATGCTGCCACCACCATGCTTGACAGCTGGTCATTAGATTTGAAAGCCTCACCTTGAATCCTCCTAACACACTTGTCTTTGTGGCCAAAAAGTCCAATTCTTTGTCTCATGTGACCATCAAACTCGACTCCAGAACTCATTTAGCACAGGTGCAACTTTAAGGCGCAGCTTTTGAAGGAGGGGGTTATTTTTGGTGGCCACCCTCTCAGTCCATGATGACGTTAAACTGCGTTTTTAGGAACATCCGACAAACAGACCCTTCTATTCCTGAAGCTTTGGGATTAGATGGTTTAGAACTGGCTTTTTCAACAGGACATTTATAAACACATCAAAAGTAGCTCTGGAATAATAAATCAGTGCTATGATTAAAAACTTGTGCAGTGTCTATAGTTTTGATCATATTTGGATTAAGGGAGTTCAAAAACAAAAGTAAACAAGTGCACCAATGTCCTGTGTTTAATGAGTTATTTCAGCTGTTTCTAGGAACTATACGTCACATACGACTCTAGTTTCTTGAGAAAAGTCGACACATTTATGTCTGAATTCTGTTTTATTCCATTTGGTTCCTCTGAGCTGGACTCGTCCTTTAGTTTTCCGTTTACAGCTTTTCAGGTCAGTGTAACGTCTACAGCGTTCAACAGCGTCTGCATTGTGTCTCCCCTTAACGTTAATGTGATGTACAGCTATATCAGCTTTTCATGTGATCTTAATTTGATTCATTAAAACCAGTTCACTGTAGCAGGACAGTCAGTGAATCAGCTTCCAGACATCAGAGGGAATCGATTTAAAAAGGGGGCGAAAAAAATACAGAAAAGTACGTTTGAAATATCCTAATGTTTAATGAAACTGTGGTGTAATGATCAGCGACAAAGGAGTACAGCAAAACTTCGAGGGAAAGAAAAAAAAAAAAGCCTTGTACACAAAACACATCGTCCCATTTCAAATCCAAAGCGATTCAGTCCAGAGGAACTGCAGCCATTCCCTTTTGCTCGAACCCGTTCGTTGTGTGTCGGGGGCAAAGGTGGAGAGAAGGGAGGTGGCACAAAATGACTATGTGTTGTCGTCACTTAGTAAAGGAAACACGTGGGAAAAGAACTTCTCTCTAGTTTTAACTATATCCCTCTGATCAGAGTTTACATGGAAGTGCCCGCCGCATGTGGCGCTAACGGCCGAGCCTCCCACTTGCAGGTTCTGTTATGGTTGATTTTTTTTTTATTCTTCTCCGTTTTCATTTTTTTTTTTTTTTTTTTTTTTAAACTTCTCTTCAGAGCGTGCTCATACCGCATAGAGTTCGTAGATCTTCTTGACGCAGTACGCCAGAGCAGCCAGCGCTATCGTGTTATGGAGTCTCTTTCTGTGGACGTCATCCCTGCGTACCAAAACCACGGGAGTCGACGAGGTCAGCGTGTGCAGGGGCAGCCGTGAGAGTTTTTGGCTGTCGTATTCCACCTGGTACTTGCAGCAGGGGTCGAACTGCCACGAGATGCCGTAGAGCGCGGCACAGGCCACGCTGAGGGCGCCGGCTGGCAGCGCCACGTAGCGCGAGTACTCGATGGGCAGCGAGAGCGGCGTCAGGAGGCACACCGTGCCCGACAGCACGGCCGTCTTGTGCAGGCAGTTCCCCACAGTGATCCAACGGGCCGTCTCGTCGCCGATCCGCGTGGGCTCGATGACGATGTATTTGCACTGGGCCTCCAGCGCCTGCTCCAGCTCGTACTCAAACTGGTCCTGTGCATTCTCTCCGTTGTAGATCTCGTGCACGATGTAGCAGTTCGAGTCGGCCATCACTGCCCTGCTCAGAAACAGATCAGGGTGTTGGGGGAGAGGGGGAGGTATGTGAGTCGCTAGAATGACGCAGGAATAGTAGGAATTGTGTGAAGTTTATTTGACAGGTCGTGTTCCCTCATCAATTTTATTTTTAAATCAGAATTTTGCCTTTACAAAAATTCCCACGCATAAAATATACACCTCTGACCAGACCCCACCTGTTGCTAAATATCACCAGTTATTGATGGAATATTGAACACACTGATATTGTGATAATATAACGTACAGCTTCAGATTATTATGTCACGTCTATCTGGTCGTCAACATTAACACAACTACGTTTCCTCAATCCTCAGTTAAATCCACTCTTTTCTTTCATGTTTAGAAAAAATGTATTTTAAATGTTTATGATTGGTTTTTAATAAATACACAGGGCAACGTTTTTCAACCACCACCGCCTTGAACGATAAATCTTTTTTTTTTTTTTTTTTTCATTTATATAAAGAAGTTAGTCATAGCTGTGGTAAAAATTTAATCTGTTTCTGATGGTTTACATTTCATTTAATGATTTACTTACAGAACAAGCAGACCCAAACACGTCGAAGCAGTGTATGAGACTGCGACACGATGAGAAACTATGCTGTTCTTAGCTCACTGCAATCGAGACTTAATCCAATCACCGGAAATAATTGGTGAGTATTACTGCTTGACGAACTTGGAACAGTTAAGTCGGGTTTGATGTGATTCTCAGATCCAAGTTTGGACTTCAGAGGGTAAACAAGCACAGCATAAACAAACATTACTTGGTCTTGGTTTTCTGTCATCCGGTTTAGCTCATTCTGGGAGTTCTGGAAAGTCAGAAGTGGCTGATGAAGCAAACGTCAATGTGCTTGCACAACTCTATGTTTCTGGGAATCTCATTAGCTCCACATATTTCTGTTTACCTTAAAAACAACATTTTTCTTAAGTAATGAACCAGACAGCACAAATACAGAACAGTACATGAATCTATAATCTTTGCAACCTAGAATTTGTAATTTATCACACAATATTTTTGCATCCAAAAGGTCTTTTTGTTTCTGTAAAAATCTCCAACGGCAGCAGCAAGCAACTGATTGTAGATTACTGCGAAAAACAATTGCTTTATGTCCCATGCTGTCCAATTCACTAACAATTACTCTAACCAATAAAAACAAAAAAAAAATCAAGATCACTTACTTAATGTTTGACATCTGGGAAGTTAACCATGTTTTTGTGATTTTGGATTACAACTTTTCACAGCATTCAATGTAAATTAATTTGAGAATTCCAGCTTTTTAGGACCAACATGAATTATGTGGCTGGCTGAATTTCAAACAGAATGTTGACATTATGTAAGCCCATTAAATATTGCCACAAATGGTTCTTTCTAATACAGTGTTTCTCAACTCTGGTCCCGCTGCTCTTCGTGTTTTAGATGTGCCTCTATTCCAGAACAGCTGATTCAAATGATTGCATGACCATCAAGAACTGCAGAAGCCTGTTAATCACCCTGAGATACAATTCAGGTGTGTGGCAGAAGGGAAATACCCAAAACATGCTGGACAAGGGGGCGTGAGGACTGAGAAACACTTTTCTAATAGCAATACTGCAAATAGTAAAACCACCAGGAGGATTTTGACTTGATAAATTTAGCAGCTCTTGTGTCATTTAAATGTCTGTTATTTTCAGGTAAAATTGTATACCTCAATTCAAAATTGAAGCTCGTGCATTATTTTGATTCATTCCAGCGTTTCATAATAAATATTATGGAATTAACCAAAATTATTTTTCTAGTAAAATGTATGTCATATTAAAATATATTTTGATAAATAAATATTACAACGGATCAAGACCATAACTCATTTGAACATTTTATCAACAAACCTACTGCAGCCTCATGTGAAGTGGTGACAAATACATTTTGCTCCGTTGCTTTTTGATTTTACACCGAGGTCCTCCAGATCCCGCCGAGGAAATGTCAAACACTCCACATCAAACAATTAAAACTCATCTAAGTGAAGGTTATTAATCCCAGGTGACAGTCTACATATTACCCGACGATTTTAACCAGGAACATAATGTCCCTGAGCGGCGGCTAGATAAGCACCTCAGTCGACTGCATGCTTAAAAGTTTGGAGGACTGTCCGGTTAAGTTCAGGACCGTATTACTTTCCCAGCCGCGGACTCTCGCAGCCCAGCCAGACCTCGAACCAAGCGTCCCCTCGGTACAACATACTAGTTTCCGAGCAGACTCGTGCTGAAATGCAACTTCTCTCCACATTTCCAACAGTTTGCCTGAAATACTCCAAATATCACATGAGCAGCTAGTTTGTTTCTCTGCTAACCACGGTAGCTAACGACAGCTAACCATGGCTAAAAAAAATACAAATACTCTCGTTGGCGCAAAACTTTTGAACCCCAAATAAGGTGCGTGTTCGGGAACTGGATATGGCATTAAGAAAACTCTATATCCTGAACAAATAAATTGACATTAAAGCCAAAATTTGGAGTAACTGACCTCTCCCTGCTTACTGGGACACCGCGCCTCCTTCCCAGCGACGCCATGTTGGAAGATACGACTGTGATTTCAATTGACGTACAGTCGCGCTCAGCATTTTGGGTGTTGTAGTGAATTTAATTGCGGAATGTGTGGGTGTAGCTTATTTGCTGAACTACAGTTCCCATGATGCATTGAGGTTTGTGTACTTGCTGTACGTATTTTGTAACAAGTTTGAGAGGTCAGGCGAGATTCTTTATTAAACCTGTCGAAAATAATTAAGGTAAATCTACCTAATTAAAAAAAATAGAGTTTACTGCAACACATAGGCTAAATAAATAATAATTTTAGATTTTAAATCTGTAATCATGCAAACACAACATGGACATATCGTCTCTTCGAACAGACTGTAACACATCGTACATACCGCTATCTTCTTTTGGTTTGCGGCTTTATGAGTATATTTCTGGACACTCACCCATATTGTGCTGTGTGGATGTGTGCGTGTGTGAGGCTTCTGTCCGCCTGTCGTAACCCGACGCTCTGTGGATGTAACAAAGATAAAGGCTACGTTCAGGAATGTGAGATCGCTTTGAACCACATGCTGCGCAGCGGGCAATAATGTGACAGCTTCAAGTTCCAGCCAGCATGACGCACGCATCACGTTATCAATACAAATAAAACTTATGGGGATATTTAATAATGCTATATATAGCTGCAAGGCTAAAGTGTCTAATTTCATGCCAGTTTGATTTTTTGTTGTTTTTATTTCCGAGTTAATATTCTTATTCTTAAACTCTGTTGAACATGCAGTTATAAATACCAAAATACTCCAGACGTACATACAAAAATATACATACATTACTTTCAGTTTCATGTCAGTTAGGATGACCAAAAAATAATTTGTTTTTACTGAAAGATTTTGGGTTTCCCTCCACAAGTTTCTCAAAATAGTTTGCTGCTGGAATTTTGACTAATGTTTAGAAACTGCCTTCTTCCCACATACCTTTTTATGACTTTGTGATGACCACTCTATGGCATTAATGTTGTCCTTAAACCACTTCCTAACTAATTGGTAGGATTTAATTCCTTCTGCTGAAGTCTTGAAAAGTTGCTTTAGCATTTCTACATAATGCTCTTTCCTTGTGACTCCATCTGTTTTGAGAAATAGACGGTATCCCTTCTGCAGATATAACAATGGTCCTTGTGACAAAACACTTGAATTTTAGCTTCACCAGATGACAAAGACCTTGAAAATCAAGACTTTTGTTAATGAGTGGATTAGATTACAATAATGTAATGGGCAGTTTAATAAAATGTTAAAGTTCAAACACACAAGCCATCCACCCCTACAGATACTGACAAGAATTACATCAGATGTTTTGATCTCTGGCAGCAACTGATGTTGTTCTTCTTGCAACCACCTGTTGGCGACAAAGAGCAGCCTCAATATTAGGTCAAATCTAACATTTATCAACTACTTTGTGTTGGTATAATCACAAAAAAATCCATTGACGTTTGTGATTGTAACATGACAAAATGTGGAAAGGCTCAAATGGCATGGATTCTTTTGTTTGGTGCAACGAGATTTTCATCAAATTAAAATTTCTATAACCTCTAGATGCACACTTTTCAACAAATCCACAAACTGACCTGTGATAAGTAGATGAGTAATTTATTCAGAACAAGTAGAGAGAGAAAAATATCAAGTATAAAACAGCATAACGAACATTTGGACATATCTGTTAGACTGAGCCACCTGCTCAGAACACATATCAGGCATTGTTTTAACAGTACAAAACAAATATTACAAAAATACCCAAAGAAACCCACATAAAAAAGGCAAAAAAAATAATGCCTTGGCCAGTTTACAGCCTTATGCCACCAAATGAAAGTTATACAAAAAGGGATTTTTATTGCAGTTGTCAGTAGAAAGTGTTTCGGAGTGTGTCGAGTTAGCCTGAGGTATTTGTCTCCTCAACACTGACGATTGTCTACAGCAAAATCTCAAATTCTCAGTTTTTTAATTTTTCCTGTGGTGAGAAGAGAAAGCTAATTTCCCTGAACTGGAGAGTAAGAATTAACACACTTTAAGAAATAAAAATGCCCTGAATCGTGTCGCTACTGATGCTGGTTTGAGCTGAAGTAAATATGGATATCAGCAGTAGCAATGTCTCTAACCTCAAGTTCATCACAGTCAGAATGGAGATGCTCAGTTTCCACTCCTGTACTTAAACCGAGTGTTTACAAAAAAATAATAATAATAATAAAGAGAAAGGGGAATAAAGTAATTAAAAATCCTCAACATATCAACCACTAACGCATCTTCTTCTGTCAAAGAAATCATAGCCGGGTTTTAAAAATGTCTTTTCATCCAAGACTCTTCAGTAGTAGCACTACTTTAATGTACTAAGTAAAAAAAGGAGTAATATTGGAAAATATTAAAAGTAGCATGATTTTCAAACATTATAAGTGTAACGGTTTCTCTTCATCTGAATACTGGAAAAAGACACAAAGTCGGTCTGATCTCGTAGTTCAAAGGAGGACATTGATTTGTTGTAACCAACGTTTGCTTCAAGTCAGTGGTGGGGCGACGTCCTGGAAAGAAGACAAGCCACCACCTTTTGGGCTGCTTTGTCTCTGCAAGCCTAGACCGCACAATTTCCTCCAGCAGTCCGCGTCCGCCCGACGCTACAGCTCTGGTTTGAGATCACCCTGCGTTCACTCGGTTTTGCGTTTAGCAATGCTTCGGAGGTTTCTCTCTTTGCATCCTGGAAACCTCCCGCCTAAAACTTACTGCACACAGTCTCTGTGTTCAAGTCTTTTTGCCTGACCTGTTGAGTCACTGATGGATGTGTTCAAAGTACTGAGGCTGAGGGTTCTCTTTGACGTATTTCTGGATGTACCAGCAGGTCAAGTGAGCTTTCAAGTCCTCCTCCACCACAAAATCCATGGCTGCCTGAAATTAAACAATGAGTGAAATTGAAACCATGTCAGGTCAGAATAAGCTTGAGTTTATACGCGTGAAACAAAGGACGAATACGTAGGATAGCCTATATCCCGGAACGTATCTGAAGAGGCATGGCATCATTTACTCTTTGAAATATGAGGGGAAATGTGGTTGGAAATCAACAGATAAGTGGTAGGCCAAACACAATCAACTTTCTTCGGTAGTCATCTCAATCCCCAGACCTAAACCGACTGAAAACCTGTGGAGTGAGCGTTAGATTTCAAGGCAAGGCAGAAAACTCGTAACTCTGGATGAGATATTGCAAAGAGGAATGTTCAAGGATCCCTCTTGCTGTGTGCTCCATCTAGACTCAGAAAAACTAATAGTAATGCATCACGGCCCATCCCCAACTCGTCGCTACTATTTTCTATTGCTTACAGGAAATGCAACGTGTTTGCCTGGACAAATGTTTGGTTGCAAATCCCAACAAAACTTCAATGAAAGTGAAAATAACAAATCTACAAATTTTAACCTTGGCCAGGTGTTTGGCAATTCCTCTCCCTCTGTAAGCATCTGGAACCTCTGTGTGTTGTAAATCCACCGTCTTCTTCCCAACGTATTCGTACAGGAGGACCGCTCGATCGTGGGATCCTGAGAACACACACATTTTTTGTGTGGTGATTGTTTTGAGGACTGCAGCCAATGAATCAGATTAGACAAACTGCATGAGGTAAAAGAATTATAGAAATATATTTTAAGGATAAAATACAGTGAAACAAAATGTGAGTAATTAGTAATCAGGTTCTTGAGAGCCTGTCCTTCTGCCGCCAATCAGCCTGTTAAAAAGCAGGAACTTAACGGAGATTCTGGGCTCGGATATAAATATTATTCAGCTTAACACATGGCATCCAACCTAGTCACCCGATGATCAACATCAAGCAAAGGGTTCCTGGTCC